CATTAGAATTCCTTTATTGCGCTCCCGCTCCGTGCTGCCGGAGAGAGGTCAGCAGCACTTATGAAATTTTCAATTCTCGCAGGTTTTGAATTTACATGTTTTCCCCATGTCTGAGCTGGAAGAAGACGATGAATAAAAGATTCAAATGGGAGGTCTCCAGTCATTTAAGAGCAATGCAACGAGCATTTATTCGGGGAGAGGAGCGCCGCGCGCCGCTGCATGAATACCAACAAATTAGCAGCAAACTTCAAACGGGGAATAAACAAAAGGCTGCGTTCTTTGATGTGACGCTGCCTGGGAGCTGGCACCCAGCACGAGGAGCACGCTCAGGGGCTGGCCACATCTGGGCCAGAAGCAGCTGGAGGCCTGCGCACCCCTGCAGCCAGCACGGGCATCCCGGAGGCTGCCACTGTCGTGATGCCGCAAAAGCACTTAGGGTGGCACAGAGGCTGAGCAAACAGATGCCCCGGACAGTGGTCCAGCTGGGGCAAGCCCTGCACCTGCGTCCATCTGCTCCCAAGCAGAGTGTCCCAGTGAACTCTGCCCGTCTTGCATCAATGCCCCCGTGCCCTGCTGGGGGCCGGTGATCATCCCTGCCTTGCTGGGATGCAGGGAGTCCTGCTGCTTTTCCCCAACTCCTCTGGAAGTTTTGCTGACCTGAGCGGCTGCTCCTGGCTCCTCACGGTGGAGGCATCAGCTCAGAGACACACAACAACGAAAGAGCTGCAAATGAAGACCCAGCGGCAGAGACGGGTGCCATAGCCTGTGCGCCCTTTCTGAGCCGAGACCAGACAAGCCACGTCCGCTGCACCCGCTGGGGAGCGCCCGAACTCCTGGGGAGCTGGGGTTTAAGCCTTTCCCACCCCCCTGCCCCACAGATGCTGGCCATGTCGGCACACGAGCTGCCTCCGCTTTGGCCTGGGCTCAGTGCCCAGGTACAGACTCTCCATCTTTCAAAAGCAGGCCCCGCACCCCGCTGCCCAGGCTCCAAGACCAGCGTCGAAAGCCTCCTGCCCTGCACCGCCCTGCCCCGCCGTAGGGGCACCCCCTGCACAGCCCTCCACCCTGGCGCACGGCAAGATGCACGGCGGTTGAAGCGAGCAGACACGGTGTTGCAGAGAGTTGCTAGCACTGTTCGTGACTTTATCAACAGGATAAGAGCCGAGCAAGGGGCGAGACACCCGCGTGGCATTTCCTCCTCAGTTTCCACCACTTCTGAGCTCTGTCCAGGATTGGGCCGGTGCCCTTTGAGGACCCTGGTCCCTTCTGCACTTCCTTTCTTTGCGTGGAGTCTAGTTTTTTAGACACTTTCCTCTCCCTCGAGAAGCACAGACCTTCGCACACTTCTAACCTCCACGTGCCCTTCGCACACTTCTAGTCGCCGTGTTTTCAATGGCCCCTTTGTGGGTGGCAGGATCGTCCCCTCTCCCCTTCTAGAGAGAAATCCCCCCAGGCTATGGCTGCAACATTGGTCTGACGGGCAAGGTGTATCCGGTGTCGATGCCCCGCACGCGCCCTTTAGTGACGGACCCAACACATCGCTCCCCGCTCTCTAGCTGCGAAGTGTAATGCGGGAATACACTGGAGATGCAGGGATTCGAGACCAGGCATGATTCATCGTCTGTACCGAGACCGAGACTGACCCCTGAAGAGTCGCAACCCCCTAGCCTACACCCAGGCCAGTTACCATCTGTCCCGGACAACCTTATCCAGGGGAGCCGTCCTTATCCTGGGGATTAAGTCTATGGTGGATTCTGCTTCCATCTGCACATCTACGTGGGCAGGTTTTTAGCCATGTAAGTGCCAAAAAAATGCCACTTACACGCAGGGAGCCATATTATTGCCACAGCATCCTCTCTCTCATCCCCCCAATAATCCTATTAGTGCTGCAGCGTCACTTCGGAGTTGGTCCTGGCAACAAGCACGGTTTGCTTGCTATTTGGCCCCGCTACACGTATCCCAACAGGGATGTGGCTTGTAACTTTGTGCCCTTTTGATTATCTGCAAGCAAATCCAAGCCTCTTGTGGTGGGGCGCCGGGGCCCTGAGCCCTCCCGAGTCCGTCTGTGAGCTGACCACACTTGGCTTTGAGGGTGCGTGGGGGGCCCACGGATATAACCCCCATGCCAAAACAGGAACAGCAGCAGAATCAGGAGAAATGCAAAGCTAGGTGCAAGCGAGCAGTGGTTAGTTATGTACCACGGGGAGCATCCTCCACTGGAGGAGACACGGCCGAGGGTCTGGGCTAAGGCCCCCGTGCATGCACAGACCTCTCCGTTTGGGCAGGGGCGGCCCATGGATGCAAGACCCGAGTCACCCGGCCCTTTGCGGCTGCAAAGTTCAGCGAGAAGCAGTCAACGCCAGCCGACAAGCCAGGGAAAGCCAGGCACGAGATGCAAGAAAGGATACACGCAGTGACTCGCAGCCGCCGAGCATCTCCGGGCCTGGGCGCATAGCGTGGCGGCGAAGGTAACGGAGGTGACCCCGACTCGGGGCGGAGGCATGGGAGGGAGGTGGTAGCCATCAC